ATGGGGCTTCCTCAGCATTACCTGCCTTGTGTAGACTTTAAAGGAGAAAAAAACAAAAGAATAAAGAAGATTATGATATCCCAGAAATGTGCTGCACAGATAAACAAAACAGATGAGGGAAGGTGAGCCGGTGATATGCAAGAGAGGCAAGAGGGCTGACTTCCCAGAAAATTTCAATACTGTCTCTCTTTTTTTTTTTTAAAAAAAATTTTTTAAAAAATAATTTTAATGAACGTTCACAGAGATTTTGCATTTCCATACATTCATTGTTGCATTTTTCTCCCTGCCCACCCCTCCCCCCAGTTCCCACTTCTCTTTGAAAAGTAAAAGAAAAATTATTTCATTGGTGTAGAACAACCCTGTCTCTTACGGAGCTGGTACATTTCTTCCGGCTCGCAAGACATTTGCACCTTCAAAGGCTGTGAGCTTGATTTCTGGAGCATTCCATATACTGTATTAAATGTATATCTTCCTAAATGTACCTTATCTCCTTTGTGTCAAATTCATGGTGACCTTACAGCCACCTAGTTAAGAGCTGTTAGACACCATTGAGTATGACTCATAGTGACCCTATGAACCACAGATCTGAGCCCCGTCCTGTCCTGTGTTGTCCTCTTCAGCTCTGACACTCTCAAGTCCATTGCTGCCGTCACTGTGTCAGCCCACCTAGTTGAGGGTCTTCCTCTCTTTACTGACCGTCCACTTTCCAAAGCACTACGCCACTCACCAAGGAACAACCTCTCCTAGCAACGTGCCCAGAGTCTGAGGGACAAACCTTCACCATCTTTTCCTCCAAGGATCATTCTGGCTGCAGTTTTCTCAAGGCCTGTCTGTTTGTTCTTTTGGCCATCCATGGGATATGCAGTACTCTTCTCAGACACCACAGTTCAAAGGCAGCACTTCTTTTTCTCCTTATTGGCTGTCCAGCTCGTAGAAGCATAGCAAGTGATGGAAAAGGCCATGACCTGAGTCAGGAGCACTTTAGTCTCCTAACTGGCATCACTCCTCCTCCTCAGTATGTTAGAGACATCCCTGACTGCTTGCTGCTGAAGACAGCCACCTTTAGGACAGAGTAGGATAGCCCCGAGAGTGTTCCCAGGGCTGTTTAGGGGAACACAGCTCCATCTCTCTCCAGAGAAACTGCTGGTGGGTTTCTACTAGCAGCCAAGAGCTTAAACATTGCATCACCAGGGAGGAATGTAAGGCCGTGTTTCCAGCACTCAGCAGTTAACCCTCCCTTAGTCTGTCATAACTTCACGACTGGAAGGATGTCATTGACCCCTCCCTCCAAGTGAACGTCATTGTGTTTAAAATACGACAGGGCTCTAAAGCTAGAATGTTAATATGTGATTTTAAGAGTCATTTCTATGTTTTAAAGTAAAAGCAACTGTCCAGATAAATGTCCCACCCCCATGCCAATGAGGGAGAGCTTTAATAAAGAAAAATGAATTCTTGGGACTCAAGCTGTGGGTGTTCTGCCCAGTGTGTCAAACACAGGCATAGCCTGCCATCCCTGGGCTAGATTTTATCTTACTGTTCCACGTTTACCAGAATTCTGTACAACTTTGTGAGTAACTATTTTTTATGCATGTGTTTTGCACATTTAAAACAATTGTGGAAACAGACATAATGAAAGGTCAGCTGATTCTTGTCTCCCAGTCACTGTTCTCTCCATCTGGAGAGATGCCCACGGCTCTCAGGTTCCTGACATTGTAGCTTTTGTCATCGTTTGGTGCCGTTGACTGGGTTCCCTCTCCCTGGGGACCCCACGTCCAGCAGGAGGGAGCTCTGCCCAGTCCTGTGCTATCCACCCAGTCACTGCCATGCTGGACCCCGTTGACTGTGTTCCCTCTCCCTGGGGACCCCACGTGCAGCAGGAGGGAGCTCTGCCCAGTCCTGTGCCATTCACACGGTCACTGCCATGCTGGACCCCGTTGCTGCAACCTCTCTGCTGGTCCACCTCATTGGGGCCTTCTCTCTTCCTAACCTTGCCCTTTACCAGGCGTGCGATGGGACAGTTCTTGTCGTTGTTAAGTACTGTCGAGTCAGTTCTGACTCCCAGCGACCCTGTGGACCTCTGGTCTGAGCCCTGTCCTATTCTGGCCATCTCCGTCATCTCTGACACACTTGAGCCTATTGTTACAGTCACCTTGTCTGTCTCTCTCATTGAGGGTCGTTAATTCCTTCACTGGCCCTTGTGTCTTTTTCCAAGGACTGTCCCCTGCTGCCAGCATGCTCAGAGTTTGTGAGATGAAGTGTCCACATCCTTGCCAACATGTGACAGTAGGGAAGTGTTTTCTATGCAGCAGTGAATATGAACATGGATTCTTTGCCTCTCTGGTTTTACCCTGTGTGTGAGTCTTTGTGCATGTCCTAACTAAAGTGTTCAGAGCAGGTCAGAAAGAGCCTCCTCCTCCTGGGGGAGTAACTGTGTGGTGTTCCATGGGTGGATGGCCCCTGCTTATCTCACTGGTCTCTGTTGGCAGGCATGGGACGGGTTTCCTGTGTCATGCTGTTGAAGGTGTGCTACACTGGAGCACCTTGGAAACAATATTTTGCATCTATATAAGCATGTGTTGTTGTTGTTATGTGCCATCCCCTGCGACACATAGGGACCCTATGTACAACAACTCTAAACCCTGCTCCGTCCTGTACCAATCTTACTGTCTTCAACACACCTGTTCCCATTACCCCAGTCACTAAATCAATCCGCTTCATCGAGGGTCTTCCTCTTCTGTGTTGTCTCTCCTCCCTCCCAAGCATGACATCCCCTCTCCAAGGACTGACCCAGCCTTGCAGCATGTCCAAAATATGTCAGATGAAGCTTCACAATCCTTGCCTCCAAGGAGCAGCCTGGCTTCACCCACTCCAGAACGAACTTGTTCATTCTCTTAACAGTCCATGGTATATTCAATACTCCTCTCCAGCACCACAGCTCAAAGACATCAATTCTCTTTCTATCATCCCTAGTCATTGTCCAGCTCTCTGATGCACAGCAAGTGATTGTGAAGACCATGGCCTGTATTAGACGCACCTTAGTCTCCAGACTGATGCTGTTGCTCCTTTGTACTTTGGAGAGGTCTCTGACAGCGGACTTTCCCAATGTAAATTGTCTTTTAATTTCCTGGCTGCTGCTGCCAAGAGTGTTGATTGTGGAGCCAAGCAAACTGAAGCTGTTAACAGTCTCATTCTCTTCACTGTCTATCATGATGCTGGCCCAGTGGTGAGAATTCTTGTTTTCTTGATGTTGAACTGCAATAAGATAAATTTACAAATGAAGTCTTTGGGACAAAGGGATATCACTTTTTAATAGATTTGATTCTGTGTGATAATTTCAAGCCATTTAAATGAAAATTTACACTCACTAGATTTTTATGTTGCAAATTTAGCTCACACAAAGATTATCTGGCTGTTTCATTATGGATTTTAATATGTTCAATAGGACAAATATTTGGAAGATCTATAGCAGTCCAAACCAAAAACAAATGAACAAACCAACCCCCGCATTATCGCTGACTCTAGAATTCTCGACTCATGGAAATGTGGTGTCCATAGTTTGAGAACATGGGAGTCTAATCCCCTCCGTTATTGAAAACATTAATCGCGCATTTGCTTATTATTGCTGAGCTGGGAGATAACATTGGGGGACTGAGCTGCACAGTTCTAACTGTAATCTGGGGATTACAGAAAGGCAAATCCCCATGCTTTGCCCTTGGAAGTGGGTCTGGGGAGCCGCTGTGATTGACCTTCTCTCCCTGCAGATGGCGGCCATGCGGCAGCATCCTGCTGGTACTCGTGCGCCTGCCCACTTCCAGGGAAGGCAGATGCCAGCCTGCATGGGGATTATGAAGCTCCCAGTTAGGAATACGCCCAAGTGACAGGCGGCTGTCCAAGTCTCCCTGGTCGTCTTGTACATTTCCCCATTCACTGTCAGTGTCTGTAGTTGAGTTTCCGGAAACCCTCTTTTCACATCCTCCTAAGCCCTGTTTACAGCTGCTTTACCTTTGGTACCATCTCTGTGCTAGTATTCTTGGAGGGACGTCTCATTTACTCTGTTTGTTACCCATCTGTCGCCCAAGCACCATCTTACCTGCTTACCTCCAAGACAACCAAAGCAGAGGCCAGAGACAGTGGCATCGATGAGAGAGAACACAGTGTCTTCTGTCACACAGGCACTTTCTTACCTGCTTACCTCTGAGATAACCAAACCAGAGGCCAGAGACGACGGCATTGATGAGAGAGATCATGGTCGTCTTCCAAGACCAGAGCTCTCACGCACTGTGTGTGTGGAGGGGGGCCTTTGGTGATGGAGGAGAGATCACTGGAGGGGGCTTTGTGTTTGGTGCAGGAGACAACCATGCAGCCCTTCTGGAGGGCTTTGCACCTACCCTGCTCTGGGAGTGTCCCTTCTCATGGCGCCCCGAGGAAGGAAGGGGCCGACTGCATGGGCAGAGCAGAGCTGGGGAGCTGCCGTCCGAGTTGACTCATGAGTTCAGCATCACAGGTAGCGAGAAGAGGGCAAGCAGGTGCAGGAGTGTATCCTTGGGACGTGAGGAGCAGAGCAAGGCAGGCTGCGGGCAGGTCATCAGTGCCAGTGTGCACAGACAGAACACGATTGTCCGGGCCTCGGACCGCAGGCGGGGTTGGTGATCAGGACGGCCGCTGCTTTGTGACACTCGGCTGAGGGTGCTTTCTGCTTTGTTTGCTGTTGGAGCAGCTTTTCGCTAGGACTCCAGGAGGCCTGGAGGAGCCAGCGTGTTGTTTCACGTTTATCTTCCCTTCTGTGACCGGGCGTTGAGGTTTGACTCTGTAGAGCCCGGATGCATGCATTTCCCCCTCTGTACTTGGGGAAGAGCCGTGGATAATGTGGAAAATGTGTCAGTGTTTGCTGTAGCCGGTTACGAGCCTGCCTTTGGTTTCCGGCGGCCCTGGAGCTGACCAGCACTCTCGCCTCGCACCGCTGCATTGCACACTTCACGTCTGTCTCTTTTCCTTCACAGAAATAGAGAAGTTTCAGAAAGGAGATAGCAAGGAAGAAGAAAAGTACATTGATGTGGTCATCAATAAGAACATGAAGCTGGGACAGAAAGTGTTAATTCCTGTGAAGCAGTTCCCTAAGGTAAGAGAGGGCAGTGCTGCTGGGTGGGGGCCCCCGGCCATCCCAGGGGAGCAGGGCTTTCGGTGTTTTCTGATACTGTCTGGAGACCTTGTCCCTGACATCAGGCAATCGCAATCTCTCCTTAAAGTTATTTACAGACCGATTTCCCGGGTTTTATGAATGTAATACACTCATCATATGTTTTTTTGTCACACAGACCCCTCAGCCCAGCTCTGTTTTCGTAAGTGCCCTATGCTAAATATTACGTATGTGGGCTTCTTAACTAAACCAAACAGTAATGATTCTCTTTTATATATGGCTTCGTACGAGCCACGGAGCCTTAAAAATGTGCTTCTCTGTGAGTATTAACCAGGAGCTGTGTGACTTGGGGCATCTCTCCCCTTCTATTTCCTCATCTGTTAAATGAAGTGGGATTGTTAAGAACAAAATGAGATTATTTGTGTTAAATGCTTCACATAGTACTCAGCACATAAGTATCCAGAAAGTGTCTATTCTAAGTGTGTTAAATCTTAATATTTTTTACTCTTCCTTCGCTTTTGAGGGGCCAGGTAGATGATTCTCTCACACGATAATGTTCCGTTTTTAAAATTTTTTCAGCCCTGATATTAGTCCCTCCCCTTTGCCTGGACTGTTTTCTTTGTTCAGGTTTTAGACATTAAACTGCTGTGACCATTTTTGTACAAACCATTTTGTTACCATCTGTTTTCATTCCTCACAGTTAAGTTCCCGGATGGATAGTGTGTCTGTCTGGTGAGAGCTTGTCGCCCCCTTGTCCAGTGTGTCCTCCCCATTCCATCCCCTGAACAATGGATGGACGGGGGCCTGGCTGTCCTGTTCCTCTTTGTTGCTGTCAGTCTTTCGATTTCCAGCCATTCTAGTGCTGGGTTGGTGTCTTGTTTTAGGGTTAATTTGCATTTCCCTGATCATGTGATGTACTTTTTTTCTGTACTTGTGTGTTCATGTATATCTTCTATAAACTAATTTTCTCTTCGAGCCTTTCATGCATCTTTTTATAGGCAGGGTATCTTTATATCATTGGGTTATGAGGACTTTTTCTGTATCTTGTATACTATGATGAAGTCCTGGTAGCATAGTCAGAGGCTTTGCGCCATTGGCAACCGCAATCTACCAGGACTCCAAAGGAAAAAAAATTAACAGTCTTTCCCTATTCCTGTCTTTTGTTTATTGGTTTTTGTTCAATCATTCATATATACCTTGTCTTATAATATCAAATATAATAGTACATTATTTGCATCATCTTGTTAAAACTTCACAGTGGCAGCCCCTCTCCCTTATCCTCACCCATCCCTTTGCTAATCTTCACTTCCTCTCTCTCCCCTCCTGGGGTCAACCCTCCACAGGTGTTCTTACCTGATTTACAGCCTAGGAATCTGGATGGAGGGTAAGAGATTGAGTTGAAGTATACAACCAGGCTTCTGTCTGATGGACCTCTTGTGGGTGTTTGGCCTAGTCTATGATTTGCCTTTACTTTTTGCTTTGTTTTTGTTGTTGTTTTTAGGTGTTGTTGAGTCCACTATAGCTCAGAGCAGCCCTGTCTGAACAGATCTGAACCTTGCCCTATCCTGTACCATTTCACTGTCTTCGTCATACTCAGGTTCATCTCTTTATGTTGTTAGGTGCTGTCAAGTCAAAGGTGACTTACAGCATGAACAACAGATCTGAACTGTGTCCTATGTTGTGCCGTCTTTATCATCTTTGACGTACTGGAGTCCATTGCTGCAGTCACTGTGTCAGTCCATGTCACTGTGGGTCTTCCTTTCTTCCCCTGTCTCTCTGCCTTTCCGAACATGATGACCTTCTCCAAGCAACAGCCTTACTTATCAATTTGCCCAGAGTATGAGAGATGAAGCTTCATCAGCTCTGCCTTCAGGAAGCTCTCTGGTTGCACTTTCTCCAAGATGTGTCTGTCCTTTTGACAGTCTGTGGAGTATTCAGCACTCTTCTCCAACACCACCACTCAGTGACATCAATTCTCCTTTTATCATTCATTGTCCTGCTTTCAGATGTATAGCAAGTGACTGCAAAGACCATGACCTGAGTCAGAGTCTTATATTTAAGCAGAAGTTTTAAATTGTTATGAAATCTAGTGTTTCTCATCGTTCTCGTAGTTGTTGTTGCCTCTGTGAACCAGAAAATCTTTGCCAACTTCAAGGAAACACTGAGTCCTTTATAACATGCATTACAAAGGTTTTCCATTCCCCTTTATTTTTTTTTCAGAAAGCTTTTTAATTTTAGCTTTTACTGTAGAGTTAGAGGTGAAATAGACGCCACATTTCATTTTTTTTCCAAACAGCTCTTCTGTTTTTCCTGTTCTTTTTCTCTAAAGATCTCTCACTTCACTGACGGTTTTATCACCTTTGCTGACAGTCGGATGACGGTGGGAGTTGGGGTCTATTTCTAAGCTGTTCCATCAGTCTATTTACTGGTTCTTATGTCAGTGCGTCCAGGGTGCTCCTGAGAGGCAAGGATGATGAAATTTCATCTCACATACTTTGAGGATGTTGTCAGAAGGGGCCACTCTTTGAAAAAAGACATCAAAAGGTGTGGAATCAAAGAAAGGGGGCAAGACTCTGCACACCCTGGATAGACACAGTGACTGTAACAGCAGACTTGAGTACGTCAGAGATGAAGAAGTTAGTGTGGGGTAGAGCGAGCTTCACTCTCGTGTTCATAGGTCACTGTGAGTCAAAGTCGCCTTGTTGGTACCTAACAATGGCAGCAACAACAAGCCAGTAAGGATCTTTTGTGAAAAACAATGTATTCAAACTTAGTAAATAAATCAGAGTAAGATAAAAAAATTGTTTTGATTACTACAGCTTTTTAGTAAGATTTGAAGTTAGAGAATATAAGCCATCCAGCTTTGCCCTTTTCTAGAATTACTTAGATTACTTTACCCTTTGCAATTCCATATTAATTTTACGACTTAGTGTGTCAGTTTCCACAAAATGATCTTACGGTATTGTGATTACAGTTACATTGTATTTATTGATTCATTTGACTTCTTACCAAAATCGAAACTTTTATTTCCTGAACACTATATAGATCTATATTCCTTTAGCTCCCTGTAACTTCTGTTGGCAATATAGTTAATATGTTTCATATCTTTTTCATAGTTAAGATTTTATATGCTTTTGGTTAAACTTATTCCTAAATAGTTTCTATTTCTTTTTAAGCTGTTTTAAATTGAATATTTTTAAAATGTCATTTTTCCATATCCAGTTTGTGCTGTACATTTTGTATGCTAGCTTTTTTCCTGCTCCTTTTCTATATTGCTGGTAAATTCATTGGGATGTTTCATGTTAACAGGCATCATTGGCATAAAGGGGTTTCCCTCTTTCCAGTTTATATACTTCTTCTTTCTGTCTCCTGGGTGCTTGCTTGTGTTGGCTGGCATCTAGGATAATGAGAGAGGTGTCAGAGTCCCCGATCTTAGCAGTGTTCTCTATTTTGCCATTAAGAATGATACACACTGTATATAGTCTACAGATTTATTATATGAAAGTTCACTTTTACATTGCTGAGATTATTAACCCCGAGTGGATAATGAATTTTATGGAGTTGTCTGCTCCTGTTGAAAAAAAATGATACTACTTTTTTTATAGTAGTGTTGTGGTACATTTTATTGGTTAACTTTTGTAAACTAAATGAACTTGGTCTTTCTAGGTTAAATGATACTTGGCCAACATTTATTTCCCCTTCTATACGTTGCTGAGC